ATTAACAATCTGCCTGCTTTTTAACATGAACATCAACTAATCTACAATACGTGACAAGAATTTAATAAAAATGTTGATTGCTAGTAAAGAATTTGGGGTTTAAAGAGCCATGAAACAAAAATAAATGTTTTTTACACAGTTTTTATAAATTAACGAGGTATTATGTATTGATTAAATCATAAAACTCCTACATATCTGATATCTCACTGGCTTCCATAGGTTGTGGGTTTCCAGGGGTTGCATGACAAGGGAATTCTGAGTCACAACCTCCATATTTCTAAAATCCAGCTCTGCATGCATTCAAAACAATATCTTCATAATCATTAACTGTGACAGTTCCCACCACCACCCCACTTGTACTGGCCAATATTTCCTTCATTTCACTGTCACCCCTTGACTGACGAGATACCTCGGGACATGTCCTGAGCTAATCATAAAACTAACACAAAAACACAGGCAGGAAAGCAGCTGAGTCTAGTTAAAGCCTTATTCTTTGGAGATTTCACTGCCTTCCTTTCATATTATTCCTGGTCCTAAGGTCATCGTTTGTTACTGTGAGACTAAAGGAGATGTATTTAGAAGCTGTTGAGTGATCAGCTCTGTTCTTCTTAATACTGGTCCTCCAGGGCATGAGGCTTAGTGATTTTACAAACCAGACCGTCCTCTGTGTAAACCCCAGTTGTCCCATATGTATGATACATCACGGCGAGAATACAAAGACACAAAAACCATAGTTTTTGCTGAGAGGAGGAATGCAGTGGGACGTAGTCAGCCAACAGGAAGAGGATGATGGAAAGACTTTTGCCTGAAGCAGGTTGCCTTTGGACATGACCAGATCACGTTGTTTGACCTACTTAGTTTTAAGCATTCCCTTAACACTTGGCGACCTATATAAACATTTGTCATTCGTTCTATCAGTATACATCACTGAGCTCTGTTTCAAAGCCACACCACTGCTTTCTTTCAGCTCTCTCCACCTCCTCAGTCTTCTCCTGTATTAGTCAAATCTGATACATCTTGGGCTCTGTCCACTGTGTGAATTCAGAGACATCACATGAAGACTAAAATCTGTACTGATGCAATACATTGTGCAAGCCTCAGTGTGAGTGTCATGAATGACGGGAATCCTAACCCAAAAATAACAACCATTAAACAACCTAACAATAGAAATGTAGACAGTGTTGTATATAATCTGGTACCTGCTGACGGCTACACAGTCATGCCTTCAGTAGTAGGGGAGCAGAGCCAGCAGGCCCACTGCCAGGTCTCAATGTTCTCTGTTTTGATTATCAGGGTTAGCTTGAGCTAAGTCCCTGTGTAAGAGGCTGGAAGCAGGATTTACAGACCTGCATGGACAACCTGGGAATGTGTGTTGTGGGTTTCAGCTTGGATCTCACCAACCTGAGACTAAAGAACAACTCTTTACAGGAGATGATCGGCCACATGGCTTACAGAGAGAAGGAAGAGGAGCAGGGAAGTAAAGAAAGCAAAGACAGGAACTCAAAAGTAGAGAAAACAGACTAAAAGTTCAACAAGAGACAAATTTACACAATTGGAATATACAGTAATCACTGTTTACATGTGCACAGTAATGTAAATCTTATTTTGTTTTATAGTACTGTAGGACAGTTCTCTTTTAAACTGCTGTCATGAGGTTGTTTTTCAAGATGGAATAAAAAAAAAACTAAGCTAGCCCAAACATTACATCCCTTTTAAAAATGTAAATGTTATAAATAAAAATACAACTTTAAGCTAGTTACTTCCAGCGATGAGGGCGTTGCTGTGCACGTAAGCATACGACTGAACTGTGAAAGAGCCTGCACGGGCATTTGTGTTCATTCATTACTTAGTTTATGTTGTAACAGCGCAGGAAAGCAGCAGAAACAGTGAGCCCTCCATGAGTCAGTCTGCAGCCCTGAGCCACTTGTGCTTTATAAACACAGCATGCCAAGTATGTAAAGCCCATTAATGGTAAAAGCCACTGGACGTCAGTGGTGGCGAAGGACACTGTGTTTGATGATAATATCTACTGTGGCAAACGCCAAGTACGTGGGTGTCGGGTCAGGGCAGGGCGGGGCGGGGGCGTTCATACGATCAGAAAACACATATATTCACATGGGAACACAGATTATGAAAGGAGAAAGCCATGTGTGTTTGACCACATCAGTGTGTGTGTGATATACTCACCTCGTTCTCTTTTTTCCTTTGAAAAGGAGTCAAACTTCCTGCGCAGAGATTTTCTCCGTTTATGTATTTCTGTGAAGGAACAAAAGAAAAATGAATAAAACGGGTAGCGGTGATGTGTGTGCTTTAGTCTAAACAACAAAGACTGCACACTATTTGGTCTGTGAGCTCTTTCATTAACTATAGTTACACCAGTGTGCATGAATACCGTTTGTGTGTTTCCGTGTGTATTGTTTTTTAAGATGCTCTGGTTGTCACTAATGAAGGATCACTAAAACACAATTACACATGAAACATTCTACATCTGCATCACTGGTCCTTTTATCAGGTCTGAATTCATTTACTAAACCGAATCATCCCTTTTATCTCTCACATACACACACAGCCCTATCAAACCGCCCTCGTTGCAACCTTTTCCTTTTCCTCTTTCACTTATCTTTTCCTCCTGAGTGCTGGTAGCTCTTCCTCACTTCTAAGAATAGAGCAGACCTTGTTTGTTGAGATAGCCCCTTTGCTTAATGGCTGTACTACCCCAGACACAAAAGACAAAGGGATATGGTGTCTGTGTTTATATGTGCATAGGACACATCTAGAAAGAAAGGTAAGAAAATTATAGTTATGGGCTTTAAAAAAAAAAGCACACAAAATTCAACAGAAAATCATCTTTTTGCAGTAAAAAAAAGTCCAAATGTTTTCTTTAATGTATATTTTTTGTACTAAAATTACTACTGTAGCTTTTCTGTTTCTTCTGGTGGCATCTCCAAGTTGTCCTCATTGGTTGGAGTTTTCCCAGTTGTACATATTTCCTGTATGTTGTGTGACAACAACAGCCATTTCTATAAGAACCTAGCAAACTCCATCTGTAGAGGAGGATTCTGTGTTAAGATTTTTTTTTCAAACTATTTCCAAGCTCAAGAGGGAAAAGGACTTTGGAGAAACAGCAGTAATGTTCCTTGAGCCTTATAGCCTCTGCATGGGCTGGGCGGCATGTCTGACCCCTCTTGACATTTGCAGGTTCAGCGTACTGCAGCTGACTAGCTAGTTAGCTATCCAGCCTGCAAACCAATGTTGGCAGTACAACTTTCCCTTTGTACATCTTTGTTCAGCAACTCATTCAAGACGGGACAAGATAAGGTGCAATATAAAATGTGTCCACTGGGACAGTTAATCTACTGTATACATACAAAGCCCTTAATGACAAGGCTCCATCGTATCTTAAAGACCTCGTAGAGCCTTATCATCCTAACAAAGCACTTCGCTCTCAGAGTGCAGGTCTACTTGTGGTTCCTAGAGTCCACAGAAGCAGAATGGGAGGCAGAGCCTTTAGCTATCAAGCTCCTCTCCTATGGAACCAACTCCCAGTCTCAGTTCGGGAGGCGGACACCCTCTCTGGCTGTTCAGACCAGGTCATAACTCCAGTTGTCTGCGCATGCACCTCTGCCACTAGCTTGCCACTATTACACATTACTAACTTTGTGTCTCCTTTCTCCCGTAGTGTGTCCTCTCTCTCTCTCCCTGTACCTTTCTGCAGGTTGCCCTGGCCCTGGAGCTCTATGTCTCTGACGAGCAGTCACCGGCCACATCGACCTGATCAGTGTTTGATTGTTGTGTCTTGTTGCTTTTCTTCTTTTGTCTCTCCTCTATCCACTCACCCCAACCGGTCGAGGCAGAAGGCCGCCCACCAAGAGCCGGGGTCTGTCGGAGGTTTCTTCCGTTAAAGGGAGTTTTTCCTCCCCACTGTCGCCAAGTGCTTGCTCAAGGGGGATTTGTTGGGTTTTCCCTATGTAATAATATTGATAACAGTAAGGTCTAGACCTTACTTTGTAAAGTGTCCTGAGATGACTTTTGTTGTGATTTGGCGCTATACAAATAAAATTTGATTTGATTTGATTTATACACTGATGCCATGTCAGGGAACTAGAAACTAAATGAACTTATCTCCTTTAACACAAACTATGACTAAGACACTAAACAACAAGTCATTTTGTATTCAAGACCACAGATGGAAAAATGTGGATAAAGGTAAGGCTGTGCTGCCCTTTCAAAATAAAATTGCCTTACTGAGCAAATGGTATGTTAGTTCTTCATTTGACCTCCAGAAAGAAGAACCTTTCTGTCAAACTGACCAAAAAACAATGACATACTGTATGCACAAATACATTTTGCTGCCACGAAACCAAAAGACAAAATAAAAACACATTGCCAAAGCAAATGTGATTTACAAAGCACATCTGTAAGCAGTATGATAAAAATTGTATTTCATTTCAGTTGGGCTATTGGACAACAATCACTGTTGATGAATATTGTGCCTTTCTACCTCCATGTTTTGTTTGGTTTTGGATCCTTTGGGTAACTGGAACCACAGAAAGCTGCACCAGTCACATAAACAGAGTCCAGTATCAGTGGACTTTAATAGCAGTATGCCTGTGTTCTAGTTGCTAATATGTGTGTCAGCGGGCATTTGTTGCAGTACCAGTTCTCTGTGTGTCTGTTTTCACAATGTGGCTTTTGCCTCGACTCCAGTCCTGTTCTTTTTCTTTTTTTAAACGAGCTCTACATCCTCCTCCGCGGACTCGGTTTACATGGAAGAAGCCATTGTTTGGGTTAGTAAAGCTGCTGTTTAGAAGTCACAAATTCAAGGTTGGGTATTTTCCCTATTAAGGACAGAGTGGAGTTTCCTACAGCGCAAACTGTGTTGTCTGAAATATGTTACGTTCTTTCTGATTTTCTCCTTTAATCGTGGGGAAAATCTAAAGTAAACCGAAGATGATAAAATAAAAAGCAAGGGAAAGAAGAACGTGTGTTTGCGTCCACGTGAATGTGTTTGTGTTTCTGTGTGTTGTCAGGATAAAGGGGTCAAATTCCCATGACTGCAGGAAATTAAAGTTTATTTCCAAATCTCAAGGCCCCTCCCACCACGCGCACGCCACCGACGGCTGCATGCGTGTGTACAGATGTACACACTCCATGTAGGATTACATAATACGCGTTCACAGAGAGCTAAGATGAAAGACCAAGACAAATGCAGAAAGAGAAAACAGCCTTTGCTTCCAAGTATAACCGACTCATGTTTTCTTACAGTACCGAATCATTTTTGTTGGGATAAAGTTTTGTACAAAATTAAGTACCAGCCATGAATCCAACACTCAATCACATATATATTTTACTTTTTAAACTGTCTTTAAGCATCAGGAAAGTGATTTTTCTTAAGTCTTGTTGGCAATTATATTTTGTTATTCTGATAAATTGTGTCAATGTGTTATGTTGTTAGTCTGTAACTCATTAATTATATGTTTTATCGTATTGTATCTTAGCCAGGCTGCGTTGGAACAAAGTGATTTCTAATTTCAGTGATTCTTTCCTGTGGGTGATATAAAAAAGTAAGGCAGAAAACAGGGACAATGAAAGTAGAAAATACAAGGCAGGAAGATGGAACAAGTGGAAAATACACAAACTGAACAGAAGAGAGAAAGTCGTAACAAAACGGAAAGACGATCAGAGAGAGAGAGGAGTTATTTTGGAGTCCCTGCACAGCAGTGATTGGGACAATGGGGCATGAGAACAAACTCCAAGAGCAAATCCAAATAAGCAGAAGTCTGTCTTATAACTTCTGACACATTTCGCTAAGAATTCACTGAACCGTGCCAATGAAATTAACAAACACATACTCATACACACAGCCAGTCAAATGCCAGTACATGGGGCCATGCAACTACATAAATGTAAAGACTATCAGTGTACATGTAACAACAAACTGGACAGGCATGAACCCTCTTTCAGTTGAAGCAGCGAGAGGAAAAACAGGCAATAAGTAAGAAAAAAGGTAAAGAGATAAAGAGGAGGAAAGATGAAAGATGGCAAAGAAAGATTTCTGTAATGGAGGAAACAGGACACATAAAGAGATGGGAAAAGTGAAATATAGAAGAAGAAAGCATTGTAGAAAAGAACCAAAGAGGGCGAGAGAGCAGCGGTATGGGACAGAGCAGTTGAATCTGAGAAAACTGAACTGGTAGGAGAACGGCTACTAACACACACACACACACACACACACACACACACAGGACTTCTACAGTCAGCTGTTTATTTCTTATCTGCTTTTACACTGTATAATCTCCCTGACCTTAGCAACTACCCAGCCCAAAAACATCTCAGTCTGCAGTCTGTGAAGTGCTTGAAAGATTTAGGCCGGATTTAGTACTTCAGAGTTCAGACAGATAAGACTAATGTACTAAACACAATTTGAAAGCAGGGAGTCGTCCAGTGGCAACAAGGGGAGCGGCTGAACAAGTAAACGTCAACAAAGGACAAATATTAGCCACGATGAATCGAACACACTGCTCTGATGATGCAGCATACTTTACCTGACTTTAATACTAGAGGAAAACATGCTGGCTTTCTGTGTGGGAATGAAATAAGTTGGCAATCATTACCAAAATGCCTCAGCCATGCTTTATGTCTTGCAGGCTCTATAGCTCCTGAAACAGTCCCTGTGGAATAAAAATAACTGTAATACAAAGAAAATGCTCTGGCACTATTAGGCAATGAGAAAAGGTTTTTTAAATGTCTGTTTGGTCAGATACAGCATGTAGATTAAATGGTTTAGCCACTGATGACTCACAGCTCTTCATCAGGGCAGAGATAAAAAAAAAGAAAAAAAAAGGAAGGTAATTTCTAGTTTAGTTTTGACACTTCATTCTCAATGCAGACTAAAAAGTAATCATGAACTCTGATTTGCAAAATGTGGCAGGCATCCATGAACAGTGATCCCTCATTACTTTTGACATGGAGGAATTTGTCATGAATGCATCAAAATTTTGGATGTCTGTGACAGAAATCCTGAAAAGTGTGTGGTCCTCAAAAACGTCCAGGTGTTGTTAGAACATTAACAACTCCTGACAGGCATATTTCATAAACTAACTTGACATGTTAACTACTGTCTGCAAACACACAGCTACAGTATTGGGATGGACGTGTCATTCACCACGGATTGGTTTGGGCAGAACTAAACAATGTTCTCTGTCAAACAGAAATCAACAAACATCAACACAATGTCAGACTAAATAATGAGATGAACTCAAATGTGTGACTATCAGGCTACATCCAAGCCACAGTGCTCGCTGCCTTTGGAGCTGGGAAGTAAGAAAAGCCCTAGTTTCTATCAGTGTTATTGTTCCCCTGATGGTATTTATCAAAATATTCTTTTAGCTCTTACCATCGAGTTCCCCATGAGATTACTTTTGGGTCCATAGCAGGCAAAGAAAATCAACATCATTTCCTGCACAAACAGGATCCTTTTTAGATTTTCCACACAAGACAAAAACAACACTGGCCATTTGTTTGAGCACTTTAAATGATCTTTTTTAATAGCAAAATATTCTTTCCTAAATGATCCAGTCTGGTTTTTATCCTCCCAAATAGCTCCATATTTTTGGGAGGAAGAAGTTCTCTGAGAATCCACAACATGACAAATGTTCAACACTAACCTGAATCATATTATTGATATTAAGTCACTGAGTGAGATATGTAGTGAATACATAAATCTCGCAGCATCCTTTGCCTTTTTCTGACAATTGTTTAGATATGAACAAAATGTTTTCTTTGACCAGAGTCGACTGCCTGTCAACCTAACCTCCTACTTGGACACACATTTTGTGGTTTTATGTATAATGCTGGAACTGTTTATTGGCTGGGTACAGTGAAATGCATCCAGCACATAAGCCCTTAAAGGCACAAAATTGGCATTTTTATATTTTGTGTTTTGCAAACACAGAACAACTTAGATGGAATATGTTTTTCAGTGGGCTTTGGGGTGTGGAAGGTGTATGGTTTTACTGCTTTATTAAGTTAGAACTCAGGTATCAGAGCATCAATCTTCTCAGAACAAAGCAAAACTACCTTTAAATCTTGTAACATCAAAATACATTAAAATTATGTTAAAACTTGAGCTTAAACATGCAACATCACCATTATGCTATAGTTGTTTCCATACCTTTTGGGATGCTGATCTTGAAATCCAGGTCCCTCTCCTCCAGGTGGTACAAAGCCATTTCCTGTAACCTGGCTCGTTCCAGCTCCGAGAGGCTCTGGATGGGCACCGGCTGCAAGTGCGCACACTGCCCCAGCATGGTCGCCCACGTGTGGTCCCCCTGCCGAGAGGAGACAGGTTACTGATAACTGAGAAGAGGATGTAATGATGTAAAAGGCAGATGGAGGACTGCATAGGAACCATGACAGGAAACACGATTAGTCACAATCTCCTGTTTTTTTACTAAATATTTTTCTGCTCCCTCTGATAACTTAACCAAAGACCAAAACTGAAGGCAAAATGAAAACCTGTACTGGCTGTAATCACTGAACATTTTAAACAGCCCATCAAACTCTTAAAGACAAAAATAAACACCAAATTGCATTATGGGAAGTGTAGGATTCAGTGATTATGAGGCTTGAAGCTCCTGGGTCTTGTGCCGCCCATATATCACTGACCAAAACACTACTACGCAACAAATAACTAGAAGAGAGTTTTTGTGTTAGTCCATTCAAACATTTCTAAATATTCCCAAATGGACAGTTGGAAGTTTTTTTTGTCCTGTAGTCTGAATCAAATGTTTTTTTTATGTGACTGCAATTTAAGAAATACTTTGTTGCTGCAGTAAGCACTGAGCGGACATATTTATCTGAACAGCAGAAATTCTTAGATAGGCTTAACTCCAGCTAATAATGTTTGGTATGTTGGAGCTGAGCCATGGAGATCATTTTGTTGTAATCTTAAGTTTATTTTAGGCCTTTTCTCCTGCGGCAGCCAGGCACAATACGCCCAAGGGTTCAGATGAACCCATAATGTCTTCTATTAGTCAGAAGGCATTCACTCACACAGTGCATACCAGCTCCTCAATGACCTTCAGGTGGACTGACACCTCAGCAGTAACAGGGACAGTGACAGAACAGGATGGCGAGACAGAGCGAAGCAGGATGTTAGAGACACAAGAGGTTTTAAGAGACCGAGAAAACAGGAAAAACAAAAACTCAAAACTGAATTAAAAAGTGAGAGAGTAGAGGATGCATCGACCACAAGTTAACAAGATCCAGACGAGCACATAGCTTGTTCACCCCATCAAAACAAAAATGTGTTTTTAATTTAGGTGTAGTGTGATGAAAGTCCCCCATGTAGCTAGTGAGACACTGTATTAAGCCTGAGGCATTTTGCACACACGCATGTAAGTAAACCAGATGGTAAAGCAACGAAATCAGGATGTAAAGCAGCTACTAAACTCATACAACATGGTGAGCTTTCAACTCATGAAAGTGAGGCTGCCACTCCAGGCTTTTTACTGTACCCGGAGTCACAAATTAAAGTCTTGATGTAGCCCTCTGGTTCCTCTCTTTGGCTCTGGGCCCTGCTTGAACTTTTCCAGACTATAAAAACAACATGTAAGAGTTCCTGAGGCAATGAATGTACTTTTATTGTACTTACACTACTGTTAAAGCACATAATATCACAAATCATGGCTACTTTGGGGACAAACTCTTAAGCATTACATCCATATAGACATTAAAGCCATACAATGCTAAATACAAAAGGACACCAAAAGACCAGGTTGTTGTTTCTTAGTGGTAAAAATGTCTTCTCACACACTTCCGTTGTGTTTTGCCTCATCTCCATTGCTTTCCAGGCAGGACTGCACAAAAAACACAACCTTCAGTTTGAGTTTAGTTCCTGACTTATGAGTACTCTTTGGTTAAGAAGCAGCATAAGGAGTTAAGTCAAATAAGATTTTAGTTTGCTGTAGTTCTGTCCTAAAGTTTTATCTGCATTCTTGTGGTTTTTCCAAAAGCAGTTGTTCACCTTTTACACTGATGATTCTGAGGGAGATGTATGTGCATCTATGCCTTGTGGAAGTTCAACTACCGCTCAACTCAGACTGTCTATGAAGTAAATGAGTCACTTTTTTTGTTGGAACTCTGGACAAACAAAATAACGCTCTCTCTCTCTCTCTCTTCAAACTTCTTTCTGTACTACTTTCAAACATGCCCGGGCCCTCTGGAATATCATTGTTTGGAGTTGTGCTTAAATGACACAGCAGTTTAGGCAGTAATTGCATTGTTAGCGCGAGGGCTTGTGTTTGCATGCAGAAATGCAAACAGTATGTTGCACAAGTATTTTGAGAAGGTATTTGGTTCATAATTCTATAGTGTCTAATTATTTCGCCTGTCTTGATAGTGGGATTTTTCACATCTTCTTTTGATACATTTTGGAAAAGATTTTTGCAGCATTTATTTCTCCAGTGTGGTTAGCAGTCGTTAGCACTAGATGCGCTATGCAACTGCGTCTGTTCCATTAGGCTGTGGATATACATTTTACAACAAAACATACCATTTGAAGGCACCACCACATGGTTTCGATCAGAATTGTGACCCGATAAACTCCAAAGTAATCTCACATTCTTTTTCATAATTTCCACACTTCACTTTTATCTCCTCAGAAAATAAGAATGAGTTGAGATCAAGGTGACTGATCAAGGTGATTACTGTTTGCTAAACCACAGTAAGATGGGACAACATGCTAATGTTGATGAACCCTGGAGATCAAACAGGACTAAGTCATTGGGCTGAAGGAGGAATCAGGGACATTTCATACAAAACAGAACCGGCTTACTTGTGTGTGCATTTGGGTTCTCTTGCACAGTTGTCCCAGACAACTCTTCTTTTTCCATCTTGTAAAAATGTAAATGTTCTTCTTGTAATATGATTGCTGTTTGTTTCAGTACATTAAATATTGGCTAAGAAGCTAAAACGCAATAAAACATGCATTGTGTTTACATGTGTGATGAAGTAATGGACGTGCTCCGATTGCTAGCAGATGCTACTTTTTTTTTTTTACCTTTCACTGTCTTATCTCCTCTCACACCAGATCTCACTTTCTCCTTTCCTTGTTTTAAACTCTCCCTCTCATTTTGCTGCCTATCCTTCTCTGTTTCCATGTCTCCCCTCTCCTCACTCCCACATCAGGCGGTTTTAATGTGATTGAGTCCACATGCGCTTTTCATCATTAACCTCAGCCTGCCCCCACTTCTTGGCAAAACAGCGCAAATGAGCCCAAGATTAATACTCCTTCATTAGCAGGAGGTGATGTAGAATATTTTCTCCAAATTACTAGAAAATTGCAATTGTTTCCATAACACAATAACAAAGGTACTTTTTCATAAGTGCAGGAACATTTTCTTTTTAGTTTCCTTGAGCCAGTGACACTTGTATGATGCATTAGGGTTCATAAAGGCACATACTGTATGTCAGAGATGTTTGGTATCATTACCTGAGTAGCTAGATAGCACACACATGTTCATAAGATGACCCCTAAACATACAGCCATGCTGTTTATTTTCTTCCTCCCTTTCAGTATTTCTCATGACAGACATAAATAATGAACTCACTTCCTGCTGTGG